ATTTTATCATTCACTTTGTTTGGCTTTGTTAGGCATTTACTGGTGTAGAGTTTAAAAAAAAAAAAACTCATCACTAATCAAATGTCTTTGCCATTACTGAGACGTCTTTGCCAAGTGAATCACAGGCAGCTGGTTTGTCTAAAATCTCTCTTTCACTCTCACTCACTGTCTCTGCACTGTTAACTTGTGTGCATGAGCCCTATCACAGGACATGTTTTGTGCGATTTGTTGCTATAGACCAGCGCAACCCTAATTTTCACTTTTGCGCAATGTTGTTTAAATGGCAAATCCATGTGCGCTACTTTGTGTACTCATGGGAGTGCCGGTCTAAAAAGCAGGTGTGTCAAGGCCCATTGTTGGCAAGTTTTTATTCTGAGAAACTGAAATAGATTGTGCCATTGACCAAGTACACTCAAAAAAACTATTACTGTTGCTTGATCAAACTACTTATTTAAAATGAGCTGAAACAACTCAATTCTTTTAATTTCTTTGGTTTAAATTATTTGTTTTATATTTACTTAAATTTGTAAACCATTGGGTTAACTTAAGCGTTTTGTTTTGGGACAACATGAAGGAATTGTGTTGGTCCAACTACCTGGTTAGGAGATTAGTTCCCAGAATGCTTTGCCATGGTATTGAATTAAGAGAAGGAAATGTTGACAATAAAAGTAATCTTTGGTGTTTAAAGATAATAAAAATCCTTGTTAGAGTTTAATCTTCAATTTAGTTTGAAGATTTAGAAGAGTTTTGTGTAATGCTTTGAGTTTTGAGGTTACCACCTTGCAGCACCCATGCTTTGGGTGTTGGCAGCTTAACTAGCAAAAATGCAGTTTGTTGCTTTGCTCTGTGAGCAATAACTGTCCTAAAATAAATTTTGAGGTCATTTTCAGTCAACAGTATATGAAATACTGTATATCTAAATGCATAACACATAACAGACAAGATATTATCAGACATTTGAGTTTAAGGTAAATAAAATACAGATGTATTTGAGATGTATTTGTTTTAGTCTAAAAACAGGTCTAAAATCCAGCACAGAGCGCGTTAGTTATGCACCTATGCAGACTCAAATGCTTAACACACACAGGTCGTACAGCAATAAGAAATTATTAAAATAATTAAATATATAATTAAAATATTAAAATTAATATTTTCTCCATGGATATAAAAAACACTACCTGTTTATATCTTTAACATCCGGGGGGATTTTTCAGTTTGTACATAACAATTTGCATTTTGATTATAATGTTATTATTATAACAGCATTATTTATTATCCAACCCAAGCTCATTTTGGAAATGTAGCCTCGCGGACGTTTCTGGAAACCGCGATTTACATGGCCGGAGGTACGTACGGCCGCATTTAGTTTTTTTCGAGCGAACGCTACGGGGTGGTGTGGCCGACGGCTCGCCTCCGAGTGGAGGGCTTTCCCACCACCAGTTTGTCCGCTTAGCTCGCAGCGTTACGTCGGCGAAGCGGAGGCCCGGAGGAGGAGAAGCCGGCCGCGGGGACAACCGGGATCGAGTCCGGGAAACAGCAGTTCCAGAAATCAGGTAAGATGAAAAACAGAATCCAAAAAATAAGGGCAAGAACGTGGCGAGATCCGAAAACGTGGTCAAAATCAAAGACGAGGGCTTTTGCTTTTTTTTTTCTGGACGCCTTTTGAAAACCGTCGCTTCAGTTTAGGGAAGGAGGAGGAGGAAGAGGAGGGCGGCCAGGTCGGCTGCTCGGCCGGCCGCCCAGTCGATTGTTCGGTCGTTCAGCCAGTCAGTTGGATGGACGGTCGCTCCACAGCGGCCTCCGGCGGCTTTTCACGTGAGAACAGCGCGGGCACGAACAGCGCGCGCTCCCGAGAGCTGAAAAAGCGCGCACAGCGGCCTCTCGCGGATCCACAAAAACAAAAACTGCTCAATTACGTACCTCCCGGGACGTATTTCGCGATCCGCAGAAACGTCCGTGGGGCTACGTTTCCACAATGAGCCCGGGTTGTTATTATCTGTATATTTATATTTGTTTTAATAAAAACAAGCTTAGATTTGTCCACCTCTTTCGAAGATGTATGCTTCACCATATGGGGCATAAGAATATCACACGTGATTGGATATAACTTTTGACCACACATCGTTATTATTGTTCATTTTTCATTTGCTGGAAATTAGAACTGAATTTAGAAATAGTTTTGAAACAAATCTTTGTGCTTAACAAACAAAATTTAATATGTAGGCTAATTGATGTCTTTAGTGGAGTGCGTACAGCAACATTTCTGTATCCATAATAGTAAAGGAGTAAAGAGTAAAAGTAAAGTAAAGAGAAAGTAAAAAGGCCGAACGGAGTCTCATTCTTTATCCTCACGCAGATAATCTGTTAGTCTCGCTAGTGAAGCATTCAGGTTTTCCATTCAGTTTTTTTACTTACAAAGTCAACCATGTAAATAGCAAATGGTGCAACTGACTCTAAAAGGGAATGGGAGATGAGACTGATTGGTTTAATGCATGTTATACCAATAAGTACAACCCTGTTAGACCATTTTTTCTTTCTTAAAATAGCAAAAGTGGATTCGAACAAACCATTAATGATCTTTTGCACCATTCTCTTTAGACTTTGCGCCCCATATAGAGAGCATAAATACTGCCATGTCTTTCTCTTGTGAGAGTCACAACCAACAAAGCCTGGCTGACCTGACGGCGATCAATACAATATTGCTAAAGCATTAAAATATGGAGTATAAAAAGCAGGTTAAAGCAACGATAAACAAATCAATGTGTTTGTGACGTATACTGTATGTTAAGAAGTGGCATATGTGATATGTGAGGCAGATATACAATATGCCAGAACATAACACACACTCAGATTGAGACACACACACAAACACACCTTTAGAGCAAATGAACATGACCTAAAGCATGATTCTTGCTGCCACAAGACAAACATGAGTCATGCTCAGACAGTTCTTCCAGTAACACTTCAAGAATTACTGTAACACAAACACTCACACACAGCTGGCACTGCTTAAATTAAGTTAAACAATCTTGATCAGAGGTTGAAGTCAACAACAAAAGATATAAGAGAATTTTTCCCTCCCTTTTAAAAGTTGAAAAGATTATTTGTTTTGCTGTGTTACTGTAACTATGAGCGTTTATGTGATTAGTTGCACCGTATTTGCATGTAGCATTGCTTTTTCCCTGGTGTCCATGCAACTCGGAATAAACTTTTTTTCTGATCCAGCAGAAAAAACATCTGCTCAGTTTAAACCTTCTATAAATGTCTCCATTCAAGTCTTGTGCTTTTGTATGTGTGTGTGTTGGATCAATACCCGAGTTTTAACATCATTACAGTACAGCTTTTCACAATATTATTAATAATATTAACACTGATTTTTTGTAACCTGTTTAAAGTAGCCTACACGTGCTTCAAAGATAAGACTCTGATACAATCTCTAAAATAAAGATGCAAACGCTGTCACTGGGGCCGTACTTTTTTAAAAATGTTCAATTTGTTTGTACATTTTTTTCTGATAATGTCTGCATTAGGCATGGGATGATAACCGTTTTCAAGATTTTAAAACCGCCAAACTTTTCTGCTATACCGTTTCTATGGAATAAGTAAGTTTTTTATTACTTTTTTTCCCCCTTGGGCCCACCTTATCTCCAGCAAAAAAGATGTCCAAAGTTGCCATTTTAAAATACACAGAAATCAGTGTATTGAATTAGTTGTATTCAGATGCCATTTGAATGATTTAGTCTGATAGGTTTACTGTTCCAGGATATTATAAATGTTTCTCAAAATAAAATATTTTTGTGTTCAAAGGGGGAAAATGTTTTATAACATATCTTCACTTTGCTAGGCTTTTATTAAAGGTTGTCACAGTGGAATGAACTGCCAATTACTCTTCCATATGTTTTACCGGTGGGTGCCCTTCCAGTCACAACCGAATACACTCTCAGAAATAAAGGTACGTGAGCTGTCACTGGGGTGGTACTTATTCAAAAGGTACACATTTGTACTTGAAGGGTCCATATTGGTACCTTAAAATTTTAAGAGGAACACTTTTGTACTTTTTAGGTATAATATGTACCCTTAAGATATTAGTATGGACCTTTTAGGTACAAATTTGTAACTTTTGAAAAAGTGGCAGTGACAACTCATGCACATTTATTTCTTAGAGTGCATTGAGAGTATACTAGCTCCTGAACCCCAGTGCTGAGAAGCACCCATTCATACATTTATAAACTACAAATTAATAAATTATTGTTAATTACAAAGTACAGGTACGGTACCCAACTTTGTACTGTAGATTTCACAGGCTGCTCAAGATGCTTTCTTTCAGGATGAGCACAGAGCTCAGAACAATCATGTTTCCAAATTTAAATAAAAGTATTTTTCATTCTATTAGCACTTACTGTACTGCAGTTTCAAGAGTGAGAACTGTGTAAGAGAACATTAAATTTAGTCTATTCAATTCAACGACAGCACATGAATGTGGAGGAACCACATTTAAAAATGAAACAACACACTTGTTCTGACAACCAGTAGCCTACAGCACGCACACACACGCACAAACGCACGCACGCACACACACTGATCCACTAAAATACACGATTACAAATTACGGTAAATGATAATATTTATGTATACAATTATAAAATATATACATTTAATACGTATTTTTGGGGTTGTATTGTAATCCTTGGTTTTATTTTACTATGAAATAATTTATTCTTGTTCATGCCTAACAATTTTATCTTCATCTGACAGAAACAGACTGAAATAAAATAAATGTTCAAAACACACACACACACACACACACACACACACACACACACACACACACACACACACACACACACACACACACACACACACACACACACACACACACACACACACACACACACACCTATAGGTCTATACATTTCATCTCATATGCTGCTGTTCTTAAAAAGCTGTGATGCTTTTGAGGTTTGTCTTCCTGCTTCATAACGGGGAGTATGAGTCACAATGGCGATAAAGGAATTAATTAAAGAAAGAAAGAACACTGCCTAAAGAAAAACATTTTTTTCTTAATAATGATATTGTTCTCTCCAGGGAAGAGGAACGACAGTGCGTAATGTTCGTTCATTTGAGAGAGTCAGTCGCCGCCCCACTAAAAGAAAAAAAAAAAATCTTATTTTTTTCTTCTATTCTTCTGGGTAGACATTAGGACCGCGCAGACTCTACGGCTGGAGCGGTACATTACTCCAGTGTACATGCCCTAAACAACGGGGAACGGGGGGATCGACCCGGAGATTTTTTTCACCGACGACTTTTTGCACTTCTAATCTGGAGGAACTGGTGTGAATGGAGTTCACGAATCCCTTCCTCAGCCCTGAGCACACTGAATCAACTTAAATCATATCTTCTCTGAACACAGAAGAGTGTGGGTCACTTTTTGGCTTTTTCCGTTTGATGAGGACCCACTGTTGATCTTGTATCCCCCTCTCTCTTTGTGCGCCCTCCCGGTTCTCCATTCGCCAGACGCGAAGCAGCAGAGCCGCATCACCATCATCATCATCAACAACGGCGCTCGCGCTGCTGCTTCTGAGTCCCTGCGCGTGCAGTCAGGACCCGTGCGACCCGCTATCCCACCACCATGAATTCGGATATTAACATGTATTTGGGACGAGAGAAGGCGGGAATCATGCGAAAAAGAGCCTTGCTACTCAGGAAGGGCTGCAGTTTCGAAATAACGAGGTGAGTTGATATTAGGTGAAGGGGATTCTTGTGGGGAGTGGGCAATTTGAGAACACCGCATCATCCGGTTACCGGATGGTAGGGTTGTAAATTATCACAGTGTACTGTGTGAAGAGCATCTGAGATAGACGTGTTTTACTCAAGTGTGTGGGTTTTGGACGGGCTTTCGGGGGATTTGGCATGGACATGCAGCATATTAAAGGGTCTTAAAGCTGTCACTAGGGATCTAGAGTCAACAAAGATTTACTGGCAAGACTGTCAGCAGATATTGCCAAAATAGAGCATTCAAAGTACTGAAACAGACAGGAAATATAATGTTGAAAACAGACAATACAAACAGAATTAGGAAAACATGGGCGGGTAAATAAAGAAATAAACGAATGCACAAAATCAAGGCTAAAGAAAAAAAACTGTGTGCGCGCGCGCGCTTCACACGACCGATATCTTAAAAGGTGTTGTGGCTTCTTGACAGTTTAGACGCAAGTCATGGTCCATTACGCGCTAAAACATCAGCCTCTAACAGCCATAACCCACTTTTGTTCATCGGGATTCCCCAAGAACCGTCGAGGGGAGATCCAGGTTTTCTGCAGAGCAGATGTGGGATATCAGACAGCTATAGGCTATGATTGAGATATGATTTTTCCTATAAATGCGCATGCATCTGAAGTATTGACCCGTTGATCTTGTGTTTGTAAGAGGATTGCGCTTTCATTGGACCGTTTCAGCAAGTGAAAGGATGTGATAGCAGTGTTAAAGCGTCTGCTCAGTAATAACACTGCATCACTGTCAGATACACCAGCACAAGGACCGGTGGTTCTGCACATGAGCTGTGTGTGTGTGTGTGTGTGTGTGTGTGTGTGTGTGTGTGTCAGAAATGGCGAGACACACAGAGACAGAGGTCACACCCCATTTTGGCTTATCACATGTACTGGGACCATCACGGCAGTGTAATGGTGTGACAATATTATATCTACATATAGTAGATCATTTCTACTGAATCATTATGAAATTATAAATGCTGTAAATACAGTAGCCCAATGCACATTTGCAACTCTGTAGGTTTCAATTAGTAGCCCTATGTTGAGAAATGTTGACCTCAGTATAACACACATATTACATGTTGTTATAAACGATCAGTAGGCCTGTGAAATGCAACAGTTGACATTCTCAGATTCATAAGGAGAGCATCTGCATCATTCCACTTGTGCATGTTTGCATGCAGGGTATTAGCAGAATATGTTGGCCACTGGACACATCTGACCAAGGTGGTGGGCCCCTCAAAACGCAACACCTTATTAAACACCAAAGACTGGTTTGTTTTCACTGCTTTTTATTTTTAGAGTATTGTTGCACCCAAAGTTGCTATGCGACTTCAGTCAAGCATTACTATTAAAAGATCAGGTTAAAAGTTGGTCAACAGCTTAAAAAAACATATAGAATTAGTTTATGTTGTTTATTGCTATCAAATGTCAATCATCTCACATTCAGGATGAATAATAAAGGACAGAATAATGCAGAAAAAGAATGCATGATCAGTCCTGTTTTCCTATGCACTTCTCTTCACTCCTGAAACTGCAGCACAGTAAGTGTTGATAGAATGAAAAAACTAAAAAAAAAACTGGTGTCTTGAGCAGACTGGGAAATTAGCTGGTTATATACAGTATCTGTACTCTCAGATAAAACTGTTGCAGTAAGATCATCACGTTATTATCATCTATTTATCATCTCGTCCTGTTGGGTTTCGAATTGTGACAAGCTGATTGTAGGCAACAGTACCGGAGGACTACAAGACCAAATCTTTTTCCTTTTTAACATGGTAGGGAACAAATTGCTACAAAGAGAGGTGGCAAATGTTGTCTTTATGAATTTTTAATTTTAAACAGATTCTTTCAAATTGCTTATTTATTCAGGGACACAACAAGTAACTGCCTTTATGAATGAATCACTCAAACATTTGCTCAACCAAGTCATGCAACAACACGAATGTATTCACAAACTAGACACTTGGATGGATGTAAGATTTCCAAAAGATTTCTGTAAGAATCTGAAGTGTGCTTCCAATAGACACTTAACTTTGCCATGATGCTTGTGTGGAAAGTCCTTAACCTCTAAGTGCCGTCTGAATTGTTTTTCTAAAATGAGCATTTTTCTCAGCCTCCTATGTTTATGTTCAGTTATTTCACTTTAAAGGCAATGAAATGGATTCTTTCTTGAGTTCATTTTATCATTTCGAGTCATGGCTTAAGAACCTATCTGTTAAGAATAAAAACACACCAAAACAGATAGTTAAGTGGTCCAATAAGCTGACTGGGGTGTTCTGGAGGCTGTGGACACCAAGCAGCTCAAGAGAATTACAAATTCAATTTTAAGTGACACTGCTCATTCCCTACACTCAAAGTTTCAGCTCTTTCCTTCTGTTCCCAGGTTTTTAGTAACAAGAACTAAACGATACAGAAACAGTATCATACCAGCAGCAATTAAACATTTAAATGAGGCATAGGCTACAGCAGAGGTGTTTCTGTGACTTGTATTTGTTATGTTTAATAGATGTTCGTTTAATAGATGCTCGTCATAAAAGTCACCAGACAGCACATAAGGTTTCTGTATTTGAACTCTTCATATGGAGCTGTTTTAGACTAATTTTATGCAAATAACTGAGCTTAAGCATGCAGCTCTTCTTGAATGCTCCAGATTCACTAATATAATAACAAGCGTATAAACAATTTGATGTAAATTAAGTAAGAGCTTTTCTTGAGAAGTTCAAATGTGCCTATAAATATGAATAATCTACATAATTACTATTGAATGGGATTTAGTGTCTTTATGATCATGTCATTAAGTGATTCATTCAACCAAGTCAATTAATTCAAGAATCAAACTGGCAGTGTATGTTTTGCTCGAACACTCCACAGCATATTCTGATGTGGCTATCTTTGAAAAGTGTTTAGTTTGTGATCTAAAATTGTAATAATTGGCTACAATGGTTTCTCAAAATAAACTCACTGCATACTAAACTTCTGTATAAAAACAATGCCACATAAGAAAGTGCTGACAGAGTGCTGTTGGTCATTAATGATTCACACAAACCTGAAGACTGTATAAAGCGATCAATATGCCTTAATAAATTGGATGGGCTCCAATAAATGTACCTTATTTTTTATAGAAGTTACACAAATTCTTTCTCATTTAAAACACAAATTGCATGCTTCTCAAACAAGCAGCAAATTACTCCTGTGGACCGACTTATTGTGTGCAGACAAGGACATTGATGAGGAGGAAAATGCATCAGCCCCTAACAACGTGTAGGCGAAAGGCCCACTGCTTTCACTTTATTCCTCTGTAATGTTTTATTATGATCAAATTGTTTTCTCGAGTGGCAGAGGATAACGTGATCATTTAGTTGTTTTGAAGGCCGCACACAAACACACATGCTCTGCACTGTATGACTATTTACATGAAAGGTCTGGTGAAATGCAGCGAAACTGGCTGTTTTCAATATGATGATGTCCATTCTGGACTACTAGTGGTGTGTCTGTAACAGCTACTCTATTTTGCCTCCTTTTTATCTATACTGAACTTTCTCCTTTAATTACACACTCCTCCTTTCTCCCTTTGGGTGCTCTTTCATGCACCATTTATTTTGCTCACTTTTATCTACTTCTTTTGTAGCCTCTCTGTCAGGAATCAGTTGTAAACACCTCTAATTGGAATTTAATTCCCTTAACATCATAAATCATTCAAGACATGAAGATACCTGTTGTATATTAGCCTTTTGGGGCCTTTATAATCACTAATCTGGAGATTAAGGGTGGAGCCGAACCCGAATACGGTATTCGGAAAGGCACGAATAGCGTGTTTTATACGAATACTTGATTCGAACAAATACTTGAAAAATTATTTGTATTCGGGAGCAAGAAAAACACTATATCAAAAAGCAGCGTTTCCTTATGAGACCACAGTGCATGCCCGCGTGAGTGAGAGAGAGAGAGAGAGAGAGAGAGAGACACGCTCAGTGCAAAACGCGCCAAAGCCCGAAACTGAAAGCGAGGCGTGACTTTTAAGGGGTTGTTTCATATGGATTTATTAACCATTCTTACTGTTCAGTGATCGCAAACTGCCGTAAGTTAGTTTATTAAAGACGCAAACCTCTCACTGCATGTCAGCTGCGCGCCTTCAGCAGACCTCCGCATTCCTGCAGCACGAGGCCTTTATGATTGTTTATGCGCGCCAAAAGTGGCGGATCTGTCCGGTAAAATATCTGACTGCGTGTCACCGCATCCCTAACAGGCCCGGATTAAGAACTCAGGGGCCCCTGGGCACAATAGCCGCATTTCCACTATCAGGCCAGTGCGAGCCAGGGCTTATATCGGGCCAGGCCGGGCCAATCGCCCGGGAGGTTGAGCAGTGAGGCCGAAATCATGTCGCGTTTCTACTGTGGGGCTAGTAGCTCGCAGCGCGTCACGCAAACCCCGCCCCCAGAACATCCTCTGAATCGAACGTCACTCAAACCGCCCACTTCAGCGAGAATCATGCAGATAAAGCACACCATCACATCATCACGAAACTATTAAAATTAGGACAACCAAAACAAACAAATGACACGTTACTGTACAGCAGTACAACGCATGTCTATACGCACATGCCTGTGTGTTTTCATTCATCATATTCATTTACTCGCCGACCGACTGGCATCGAAATCCAGTGGTCTTGCCACCAACGGAGGGACCCGGAGCGCAGGGAGCGCACACATCCATAATATAACACCACATATATAAAATTCTCCGTTAATAACTCGATATAAAATGTTTTTTATAACATCCTCTAGACAGAATCTGTCCAACATTCATCCCAAATGCTCCGGAGAGAACTGAAACATGATTTTTCCCCCTATAGGCTTTATGACACTTAATAGGTGATTCCCTTTATTTAAAGATGTTGCTTATTATATCTAAAGTAAAGGAAAGTGTTCAGTGTTTCAGCACATAAGAGCAGCACGTAAT